TTTTCACAGACTTTCTAAATACAAAGTCATATGCTAGATCCAAATTTTCTCGCCTAGGCTATACTGTATGACGCTCGCATTCCATTACTGCTAGCAGAGGTGGGCAAAATACTCGAGTACGATTTTGCTAGTACTCGTGCTTGAAAATTTTATTTTTTCGAATTTGAGATAAAACATCTTTTATGACAAGAATATCTCTTTGTATTTTTCAACAAAGTTGGTTGAACAAACAAACACATCGCTAATACCTTCTCTTGTGGATCAGTGCAAATATGTTTGAAGACTTGTACAACATATTGTCATGTAGTAATCGCCATAGGGCAGTCTACTGTCTTTCTTCGTTTCATATTAATATATTTAGTCGTTGCAGAGCATTAAGTTCAGGGGTACCATGACAGCGGGAGGATGGAGACATGAACCACTCTCCAGTATTCGAAAAATTGTCTTGCATTGTGTTTCACAAAATGAAACTTATACTACATCAAGTTCGATCTGCTAAGTTACTTCCAATGTTGCCAGATGTTAAACTCAAAAATCCGGAATTTAAATCTGAAAATTGGAAAAATTGAGAAAAAATCCTCAAAAAGTGCAAAAAATTTACGAAAAAACCAGAAAAAAATGGAAAAATCAGGAAAAATCAAAAAAAACTTTCAGAATCCAGAAGATCTAGTAACATTGGCTACTCTCCCTACAAAATTTTAGGAAAACAGGATTTTACAAGTTACGCCCCCCCCCTCCATCCCCCAGTATTCAGTTGTTCGCGACACCCCTGATTAAGTGTACATTTTGTTACAAACTAGTTTGGAAACTTTGTGTTACTGATACAATAATTAGTATTGGTACTCGTACTCGAGAAAGTCCGTACTTGCCCAGCTCTGACTGCTAGTCTCAAGTAAGTGCAATATTCCAAAGGCACTCCGCTATTTTCACCCTCCTCGAAGTTTAAGGTTTTTTGAAAAACTGATTTCGTCAACATTTTCTCAGTGATTCAGAAGCAGCATTTTATTCGTGCTTTTCTAATGTTCTGTATTTATACTACTACCCGAAACAAAAATCAAGGTGCGTGGTTTCTTCCATGTCCTTCGTCAACGCACAACGTAAGAGCTCACCTAGCCTGACTTTTGCAGGATTTCTTTGATGCTTTTTTCATTTTATTGATTTCTCCGGATTTATCCTTTGTGGGCTGGTGAAAATCATCGTGTATGGATATTTCGATGCCCTCTATCACTGAACAGCAGCAGAAATCGCCTACGTTGATTTTTTGGAGGATTGTTTGATGTCAGGCCACATTTTAGGCTGCATTCAATTATAGGAATTAATTCTTGGCGATGCTCAGTGATCTATGTAGATTTCATGGGATTCTCCTTGATTGGAGTTGAATAGAAATTAGTTCTTCGTATTCAGTATGATACGGTCGTTAACGACCTGTAAAGATGTTCTTACGGCAGTAAACGCCATCGAGTGGGGTCGTTTCCATTGTGTTGTACGGTAGAATTCTACATGTATATGCTCGCTGTGATATGCCGTATACGATACGGCACGTAAACAGTCGTAAGTTCGACTTTTACGACCGGTTATGTTAGCGTAAACGTTCGTTTACGGCTGTATGTGGTCGCAGTAATGCTCGACCTGGGTATGTAACACGTGCTGGTTGTTCCAAAATCATTGATCTTATAGCATTCAACCATGAAAAAGGAAGCCTTTCAAAATTAAAAACCTATTTTCTTCGTGCAAGAACATGATGATTTGTATTTATCAATTGAATAAATTGTAAAAAAGAAAAAACTTTTAAATTTTATAGAAAAGAGGTAAAAGAAAAATATTTGCCAAAAAAATTAGATATCATAAGATATGACTCACGCAAATAAGAAAATAACGTTCGTAGAAGATAGAAAAACTTATATTAAGTCAAAGTTGTCATTCAATCTGATATTGGTACAACATATACCTTTCGATAAAACGATAGGTTTATTGGTGTTAACGTTAATTGCATTCTTCGTCATTTAAGTATAACATAACTTTCGTCATTGAAATTGTCTAATAATACAAAAATAATCTTCACTAATAATAACTGAATAAATTGAGTGCACAGATGATAACGAGCAAGTGAATCAATTTGTACAAATTCTCATACTACTTTTATGTATATATAGTAACAGAAACTTTTCATCTAGACGACTCGTCTGTATTACTTCACCAGTTGTTAAAGTAAAACGAAGAGTTTTACGATTTTCTATGTAGAAAAATAATTTTTTTTCTTCTTTTCATGTCTCATTAGTTAATTATGAATAACCACTTGATTTAACAGTTTCTTCATAAGTTTGTTCACCGAATGCATCTCCTACCCATTTTTTTGTTAATGTTGTAGCGTTAAGGGAGTAGTATAAGATAAACTCTCAGTATTTCGCTCATAATTACAACAAGACAAGCAGTCATTCGCCTGAATCCGGCTAAAAATGCACACGCGCGAATAAGAGCGCAAATTCCATTTGTAACAAATCGTTCATTTGATACACCAGAGTCACGTCTTAATAAAGCTAATTGATGAGTTTCATATGCAATTTGCTCTGTTATAATACCAATAAGATAATCAACAATACATACCATTGATATATTAGGGGAAATTGAACCTGATGGTAATTCTTACCAATTTTAAAAATAGCAAGAGTTATTTGCACAATTTAAGCTCATAATAACTGCCAAATAGCACAATGTGAATCATGACCCGCTAAAACAGCATTCAATTTAGTTATACCTGTTGCAATTATTATATCTGTTTCATAATCACTACAAAAGTGAAGCTCATTTATACTTTAATCTATGATCGGTTTATAAAGACCGTATGATGATTTTCTCTTTTTTTACTTTGAAGAAAAGTTAAACAAACATGAACGATCAGCATGGAGTGTTTTTTACAATTTTCTACATTGATATTTCAGTGTCTCAGAATTTACCGATACTTCTCTAACATAAACAGCACTTCATGTATTTCTGAGAAAATAAATATGAATTGGATCACACTATATAGTTTAGATCGATTTTTAACCAATCCATTTTTACAATAAAAGAGCATATAAACCGACGGATCTACGAAGGATGCACACGCATGCGTAAAGAAGGATTTGGAAACAAAGCAGATCCTTTGAACTGCACACCATGCACACCCATCCACATGCTCAAGAGATGTTCGAGTTCTATGTTATTTTGAATTAGCTGGTCTATCTATATCATTGACTAACATTCTTATTTCACTTTTTATTTTGTTTTGCTTCAAGTAAGTTGAACATTACCACTATTAATTCGATTTCTCTGTCAATAATTTTATTATTTTTTTCTTTTCTTTCAATAGATCGTTATATTGCAGTCGAACAAAAATTCATGTAAATCTTCTCGTAGCTATTGTCATTCAAATCATTGCTCGATTAACAACATATGGGCGTGTTTTTATTTTGAACAAAAAGAATCATTTTGATTTTTTGTACATAATTGAATTTAGACTTCAAATGGCTCAACTGAAAACTTCACCAAAAAATGAATGTGACGTTAATGGAAGTGTTTTTTCATATCCTAAAACAGCTTTATTTGATAGTATATATATATGTCCATTGTTTATTTCATTTTTACAATTTGCTATTACAGGTATGTTTATGTGGATGTTGTATGAAGGGATTCATCTAAATAGTATTTTAACAGTGAATGTTTTTAAAAGTCATCTAAAAACATATTATTTCCATATCATTGGTTGGGGTAAGTATGATGCTCTATTTTTAATTGCCATAATTTGTCTCGATATTTCTTAATAGTTTTACCGTTTTCTATATCGAATTTCATGCTAGCATAAGTTGATTCGCAATAGTCTCGTTCGCTGAGGAACTTTTCGTTTGAAGATAGATCCATTGAAATAGTTGACTCTAACTGTAAGTAATGAATTCTAGTAAAAAAAAACAGATAATATTCATTTAGAGAGTTAGTATAAACTAAAGATTCGTTTCTCAGTCTTTGTACTGCTAAAGCATATAAATTAATTGGTTATCAGTGAATCGTATTGATAATGTCTATAAATTTTCTGTTGGTCAATTCCTTTTAGCCAGAAGCTTTTATGCACCTGCCTATGTAATGTAAGGTAAGGTCAACAATACGTTTTTATCGTTCTGTCAGATCGATTCTTTTTTGACGATGATGAGAATTGAAAGTTAAAAAGCTCTTATTTGTCACGCTATCGAAAAAGAAACGGATAATCAATATTAATAATTAAGAGAATGCTGTAGCATGTGATATATAAAATAAAGTATATCCAAAATGGAGCCATGGGGTGTTACTCCCATTTCGTGTGACTTCCGATTGTCTACAACAAAGTTCCAGCATGCGACTATGTTTTTGTGGTCATTAATTAGAAAAAAATCTCAACCCTCCGCCCGTCCCCACTGCAAAATCTGATGAGTTACATCAAAGATTGTTTGACTGATAGGTCGAAGTGTCTTTCCTCTTTAAAGAACTGTTCACAAACATTGAATGTTCCCCGAATAACAACAACTCACAGAATACAAATACAACAAATCAAACGTCTTTTCAATTCTGTATATATTATTGCTAGAAATCCTACAGATGTCGTTAATATTTTTTTCGATCATCTATATGTTTTGTCAAAGTCGTTGACACGAGAGGGTGTAGTATTTATTAAAATGGCGTTATATAAGCCAATACAAGGTAGAGAAATTTTGATCAAATATATTGCTTTAGTTTATGTTTATCATTATTGAAAATAGTTAAGTCTAGTCAAATTGACTCACGGTTGAGTTATTTTTTTTCTAGACTTGACTCATAATAATTATTTCGTGATATTTTCAAGTAAACAGATAACGTAGGAAAAAAATTTCTATTTTTTCAAATAATCAATTTGATGCTTCTATAAATAGCGAACAGTAATAGCTATTAATTTATCTCATAGCAATAATCAAATTGATTCAAACGAAAATAATATTTTTTTCGATAAAATAACCATGTATACGGATGAAAAAGAAGCAACAGTACCAAAATTAAACGAAGAAACAAATGTTACAATACCGTTATTATCAAATAAAGAAAACTTAACAGATCGAACATCAGTATCATCGACCAGTTCAAGTAGTAGTAATTCGCCTGATATATGTCGAATATGTCATTGTGAAACTACAAAAGATGAACCATTAATATCTCCTTGCTTATGTTTGGGTACGATGCAATATTTACATCAATCATGTTTACAACGTTGGATTAAAAGTTCTGGTGTAAAATCATGTGAATTATGTAAATTCGAATTTATAATGCATTCCGAAGTTAAACCATTTAAGCAGGTATAAATGAATTTTCAACTTTCAATTTAATTTTAGTTTTACTAAAAGGAATGTTTGTTTTGCAATTTAGTGGCAAAAATTAGAAATGAATGTTGTTGAAAGACGAAAAATAATGTGTTCAGTTGCATTTAATCTAATTGCTGTTACTTGTGTTCTTTGGTCACTCTATGTTTTAATCGAGAAAACAAGAGAGGAAATTAAAACTGGAAAACTTCGTAAGTTTATTTTCTAGATCTTACTTTTGAAGATGAGATAATCATATGTTCTTTGTTTTTTTTTGGTGCAATAGAATGGTCATTCTGGACTAAATTGATTGTGGTCGCCATTGGTTTTACAGGAGGATTGGTACGAAAAACAAAATTCATACAATAGATTATTCGAGTCTAATATTTGTATTTAATTTTTGTTTAGGTATTTCTTTATGTTCAGTGCAAGATGTATCTTCAGGTATTATTGAGAATAATACATTGATCTCTGATTTATATCTATATATGTATGATTTCATTTTTTTAGCTATGTATTCGTTGGAGACAATTTAACCAACGTATTGTTATTCATTCGATTAGTGATCAACGACCACATGAAGTTTTATCTTCTGGTATATAAACTTGTTTGCTCTGCTTATAAATATAATATTCTTTTGTGTTTTTCTTTTCAGGGATCAAAAGTCCAAGTAATAATGATAATACTGGTAATTGTATTGTTACAGTTCTTGATATAAATGATTTACCTCCATTAAATTCTAATACATTATCAGCAACAATAGTTGGTAATAGTTCAATAGATTCCACTTCTCCTCAATCCTCAACGATTGATCGTAATAGACGTCATGTAAATCATAATCATCGAAATGTTTTACATCGTTTTTTAATATTTCATCGATCGGATCAATCTCCAATATAAAAGAAGTTTTGAACTTATTCTTTGTTTCAATAACTTTTAAACCTACATACATATATATATATATGTGTGTGTGTGTGATGTCTGTCGTCGAATCTCGCGTATTTCTATGTGGTACAGATCTTGTAACAGTAAGGCTTTACTGCTTTGATTCTCTAATTAAAATAAATTTATATGTACAAATTTTTGAAAATCGATGATTTTTCTAGTCAATCTTTAGTCCAAGTAAGAAATAAAACTCCTTTTTGTTTTTTAAATTAATCCCAGCTAAACGATGTTTTTCTCTTAATGTTGTTTTTTGTCTCTTCAAAACTGATTAATGTTTTATCTTTTTATTGAAACTAATCCGTCTACTATTCTTTTTATTGTACTATTTCTTTTATTTTAAAAATTATTATAATAAAAGATAGGATCAAATATCATGCTTCTTCGTTGTTTTTTTTGTACATTGCTTTTGAAAATAGTTGTTCTTTGCTTAGAAAAAACATATCTGCCTAATGTCTATCGCTTGTATCGACATCATGACAAAATCATTCTCCGTATTACATTAATGTTCGGGCAGCGTGTTAAACTATTAGAATCTTTTTTCTTTCCGAGTCTATAAGGGCAATAGTATCACCAAAACAGCATAGTAAATTTTCTATAGGTGAATAATCTCTTCGCTTTCTTGCGTGTGAATTTTTAATAGAATAATAATATCAAATTGAAGAATTTCACAATCAAATGGTGATATTTAGCTCTGGTTTGAATTTAAATGATTGTAGAGTCTGTAGAGAAATACAATTTGAGACAGAGAAAAAACTATTGTTATCTAACCAATTCAGTATACTTTCATAGTCTGCGCATGTAAAAATGTACTTTAGTTAAAAGAATTTTTTTCGTTTATAAAAAAAATCATTCTCAACTAAGCCAACATCTAATAGCTCAAAGTAATTTCTGAAGGTCATCTCCAAAATCAACATGATCGATAACTTTCAATTCAATATTCTTCGATAAGAAACTGATTGATCACTTGAATATGTTTTCTCGTTAATCAAAGCGGCAGAGATTTTTCTCTAAATTCGTTGTTATATCGCTTAACTTTCTTTAGTAATCAGAACTATTGATAATATTTGAATTGCTGAACTGGTTAAATATATGACTTTTTATTTAGACCACAATATAAATAATCAGATGTAACAGCAGTCTACTTCTAAACAATTATCCGGCAGCACACTTTATGTATGATATCGTATACGATTTTGAATTAGTGTTGATCTTTCACTCATCGTTGCATTGTAGGACACTGGATTAAGTTTATAATATGCTAGTAACAGACAGATAAAAGATTTGCTCCTTTCAACAATTTTGTATTGCCAAATATTGAATCCATAAATATCCATGACGCGCAGCGCAGGGTTGTAGTAATGATCTTACTGAAATCGAATAACCATCTTTTTTAGATACGATTATTGATCGTGTGAATATGAATGCATTGTTTACAAGTCAACCGGATAAATCTGATGATTACTATACAATACTTGGTTGTAATGAACTTTCCAATGTAAGTATTATATTATATATATATATGCATATAATTTCTGTTCTACCACCGAGTATTTCATAGAAAGATCAAATTCAAGTTGAATATCGTATAAGAGCACTTCGATTACATCCAGATAAGAATCAAGATGACCCCAACACAAGTTTGACACTATTTTTTTCATTTGTTTTCTAAGTCAATAGAATTTCATAGTGGACCAATTTAAACAACTTCAAGAAGCAAAAGAAGTTCTATCTGATGATGTTAAACGTAAAGCATATGATCATTGGCGAAATAGTCATATAACTATACCATGGAAAACATGGCAATCAATCACTGAGCGAAGTCAACCGGTAAGAAAATACAATAGAAAAAGTAACCAGCTGTTCGTTTTCACTTTTTCAACACTACAACGAGGCTTATTTCTTCATTTTTCTCTTCCATTAAAATATAACATCAAAGAAATCTATAGAGCATACGTAATCGCCTTCGGTCAATCTTCGTTAAAAAAAACAATAACAATCATCATTTCCTTTACTATTTCATTAGTCATTCATTTTCATCTATCCGCTGTTGTTAGGAATGAACAACTTTTTTTTACAATCCTTTATTTTTTTTTCTTGTTTTATGTACACGAACTACATGACGAAAAAAATATCACACGTACTGTTGAATAGAAACATATAAGTACACAATTACACTAAGTTTTAATCCATTTAGCTTGTGAAGAAAAAAAGTCGAATGATGATGGACGTTTTTTAACGCTTAGATCAAGTGGAAGACTTGATGAATAAGATGAAATAAGTTTTTTCGACAAACGATTTCGTTTCTTT